AAGTCCAAGCATTGGCATAGTCGAGGCCATGACGAGTGCCTGCAAGTCCAAACCAAGTCACAAATTTCTTACAACTTGAACTGACAGAACAATGTCTTTGTCATTGTTCGCCCTGTCACTTAAACTGGCTGGTCTCATGAAGGGACTTGTGACTGGATTTTTACTGTTTCGTGTACTGTACTTCAGCCTAGAACTTGTATGGTTCACAAAGTTTGTAATACAGACTGTACAAAGGTATGGCACATGTACATGTGCCACATGGGTCTTTCTTACTGTAAATTCTCTCTTCAGCTACAGTACTGTTCTGTGACATGTACATGTACATATACATATATGTATTAGGACCATGTAGTTTAGCTACAGGAAGAGAAATGCCTTTCATTCTTAATAAATTTACCTGTACATGTAGCCTACAACGTGCATGAGTTTTCTTGGGGTGTCGGGCAAAAACCCCTTGGTCCACCTGTTAATTGTTGGTACCGGTACATGTATTTCCTTCCATTTTATAGGTACAAGTTTAAGCCTGTAAGAAGGGTTTTGATTCTCCACTAACTGAAAAGAAAAACCTTGCCAACAAACTCTTGATCATTGGTCTGTGTGAAGAGACTCTGGGTGCATGTGCACGGCCTTCCCCAACCAGGGTGACGCATTCCAGTTCAGGGGGGGGGGATTGGTACTGGTCGAACAAAGGGATCTGAGGGCACTGACAGTGACACAAGTAGGATTAGCCCTGAAATGAGGTAAAAGGAACAGGGAATCAATTGATGTGGACATAAAAGCCACACATGTACGGGTACCATAGTAGTCATCTGTGTGTGCATCACATAGCAGTCTAGTCTTGGTTCCAAGACCTTCAAATTTGCACAGTTCTTTTTTTTTTAATCTCCCTGGGGGAAAAATATTGTTTGGCCTACACAACTCCACAGACTGTGAATTTTAATCTGACTCCACAGTACCACTGAGTATTGATCTCTTCTGAGAACAGGGTCACCATACCGTAGATTTTCTCTCTTTTGATCAAATATTTTAGCACTACCCTGTACATGTGGCAGCAGCGTGAGTATAGTGCGTGGGTAACAAATGTCAAGAAGAGGTGACATCTTGGGGCCAAGACTAATCAACAGCTGACCATCAAGAGGTCCAGTCACAAGACCAGCCACAAGTGGTAGGGTGAACAGTGACAAAGGAATGCTTTTGTCGCAGTTCATTGGGATAGCTTGTGAAGTTGAATTCAGACTGGAGGTCTTGTGATTGTTAATTATTAGGGATTTTGTATTGTAGAGGGTTTCAACAATGACCCTACATGTACGTTGTATGACTTACTGGTAATGCAGTCAGGTTCCCTACCGCAGGCATTACCAGCATACAGGAACAGAAAAGTCAGGAATGTTCTGCTTTCTGAAAGTTCAATTCTGCTTTCTTCCGCTTTGTAAGTTTTGTGTACAAAAACTGTATGTGACTGTACCGGTACATATGTACTGTAGGCCTACATTTACCGCACATCTACAGGTATCTTTGGCATAATGATATATGTAGGCCCTACACACACCATGCGACTGTGATCTTGGACTGGTCCCCATCCCTATTGATGTATTCATAAGCCGTGAGATGTCTGGGCACTATGTAGGGAATGGGGACCTGCGTGATCTCCGCGGTGCGGAGCCAGAGAAAACCTTAAAATCTTTGGAAATCTTAAAAATGTTTGTATGTGTCATAAATAGCATACCATACTTGACATCGGGAACCAGTCTTGTTCTTAGTGCCATCTTCATACGCTCGTAACGAGCGTCAAATCAAACGTCAGACTTTCGAGGTGTCAGATTTTTTGAGGCATTGGATCAATGCTGTGGGCCAAAAAACGGAACTTTTAAACGCATTTGTCAGACGTATGAGGCGTTGGACTTATGAGGCGTTGGACCTACTTGTATGGACTTTTTAAAATGCTTTTTCGGACTTATGAGGTGTTGGAATTATGAGGCATCAGACTTTCAAGCTGACCCCTTCTTTACTTGCAAAGGAGGGAATGCTAGTTGTCTTCAAACTCCACTGTGTATGGTCAGGCCTGTACATTGAACAGGGACACTGTAACTAAACTAAAACTGGTTCCATTCATCAGAACAGGGTCAGTGCTATTAGCCTGCATGGTGGTAACTTTATGACGAGCTACACTTGGTAACCACAATAAGGAAATCTATTCTTATCTGATACTGTGGGCTGCTTAATGCCTGGGCTAATTTACCCAGTGATGATACCTAGTGTAATTCCAGGGAGATAAGCCCTATGGCTGGCCCACTGTGCGGTTAGTATTGATACCAAAGTTCATGGAAATCCTACAGAGTGTGGAATTATGGATTGATGCTGCTGGTTTCAGGAACACTTATCATATATTTGTCTGACCCTGTTGATCAAAATGTCCAAAGGAAATGACAAGGCACTGGTAAAAGTCCATAACGTAAAAGTAAAATACGGACCGGTGGTGGTTTTACTCTGGGTTCTGTGCTTTGTAAGACAATGAAACTGAGTGAGTGTGCTTTCATCTGCAGGCGTGGCATGTAATGTGGACCTCTGCACAAAAGACCTCCACATACCCATGTACATGAATGTAAATTGTGTAGGGTGGGATAGCGTTGTGTGGACTCGCACACATCCACACAATGTTTTCCCTCTCCCTGGAAAACGGCTTCAGAGGCATTTTGAGGTCGGGGTCATCTGTGGCAAAAGGAAGAGAAACAGTCCAGGAAATCATCATCAAAAATCCAGCTTGAAGGACTTATCGTACAGTTGTAGTTTGAGGAAAAAGGAACATTTTCCCTGAGTTTCCTCAACGACAGGAGAAAAATGAATGCTCACACTCCCTATGTGAAACAAGTTGTGACCTTGGTGTTTTCATCCAAAGCTGATTAGTGGTAGACAGAGACCAGGTACAATGTACATCTACAAGTAGTATGTTCTACACGGTACCTGTGAAATGTGTGTTATAAGGTTTCTTGAGGAAAGATGTGGAAGTGGGTTAATTTACCGGTACAATGTACATGTACATTTGTACATGTACAGGTATGTCTACCAGTATTTTAAGTGTACAGAAACTTGCGAAGGTGTTACTGGTATGTACATGTACATGTATATTAGTAGCCTATAGGACGACCAAGGACAATACATGTACATGGAATAAGACAATTTCATTTTTTGGTTTTAATTTTTTATGTCCGTGTACATGTATGGTAAATGTATACCAGTACGTACAAAATCAAATAAAGGTATGTATTGCTCTATGCTGTTTGAAAGTTTCACCGAAGTATTTTTCTTATAAAAGTTATGTACCCATTTACATAGGAATTACCGGTATGCATGCTCAGTAACCATAATTTTGATACATGCACATGTCCACTCTGTGACTCGCCTGTTTTTACCTATAGTATGAGAGGTTTGCTGCCCATAAATGACTCATAGTCTGAGTGTTAATCAATCTACATGTATACTCTGTGGTTGAGTGGTATACACATAGGCCTAGAGGTTTCACAAAGTACACAAACAGGTGCATGTACAAGGATACCATGTACTGTGCATGTATATGTACATGTATGTCTCTACATTGTATTGTTTGCTCTATTGTTTGAGAGAGTTCATGGCTTCGTGTAGGCCCATGTACAGTGTATGCAAGTGTTCTCTTATGCACATTGATAACCTGTATGTACATGTACATGTATGTACATGCACTGGTGTGTAATCCAGTGGTGTTGGTTTTTCTTGGCGCATGTGCCAGGAGCTTTGATCTTGTTTTCACATTCTACATGTACATCTGTTGGTGGGATATCTAGCCAAGGAGAGTGGGGTTCTACGGTAACAATCAACAAAGGACATCATTTGAAAAGAATAGGATGTGTAGTTTTGAGAACCGTGTGTGTACCGTATTTGTACCAGAAAAGTTCTGATATGAATTGGTAGCCAACTTTTAGCAGTCCGTTTAAGGTCCTGTACTTGAGTCGTAAGCATATACATACGTGTATGCGTCAATACGGTTTGCATGGATCCTTTTAATCATCCGAGCAGACGAAATCTGATTGAAGACATCCAAAAGGCCAAGATTGACCATATTGTGAGCTGAAAAGTGTACAGAAGGGGAACTCGTTTTGCATTTAAATACAAGTGTCCTGTGACATAATGACATCACCTGTTGTAACCTCCCTTCTCACCTTGTCGTGAAAGAGTTGAGGAAGTATGTTGAGGGCTGCGGCCGCGAGTCCTTTGAATTGCACACAACCGTTCGTGACAGTCTGTGGTTTTCAGCGTGTCTTTCATTGAATGGGTGTGGCATACATGTACATGTACTTGGTCGGTGAAATCACCTGGCTGAGAAAAAAGTGCCCCACGGATGCACCTGACCCCTCCAGAGTAGTACAAGGAGCATGTTCCCCTCCCCGCAGGATTTTCACATTCTACCCCCCCCCATGCAGATTGCAAATTGAAGTGAGGGTTTGTTCCTATTTCACAGCCGACAGGCAGACAACCAGTTCAACACATGTGCGTGTACAGTACAACGCCGTGTATGAAGTTTAATGGAGGTTGTGCTTTGCTGGTGTCTTAAAGGCTCTTTGTTAAATCGTACAATGTATTTTGATATCGTTAGGATGAATGCATAAACAGTTTACTTCAGAGTATCCCAGAAGAAGAAGGAAATAACCGCTAAATGTCTCTCGTCGTGTGGTTTCTCATTTCTGTGGCTGCAGGTGTGACCAGCTAAGTCGTCAAGGTGTCTCTCACGGCCATTTTCATCCAGTCGGACCCTAGTGCTTCATCCCGCAGCATGGAGCCCGACACGCCCAACAGCAAGCCAGCCAGAAATGCCCAGACACCCAGTAACCACACCCCTAGCCGCAGTGGCCGACACAGGTACACATGCACTTATACCGTCGCCATTGCCTTTCAGATGCTAAATGTATACATGTATGTGCATACTAGTACTTCATACATGTAGGCATACCGGTCATGAAATCTTGCAGTCTTTTGCAGGCGTGATGAGATAAATTTTCTGACAAATTCCTCATGAGACTTGTGATGTCCAGTCCTCTCATTTATTATAGAATACATGGAAATGTACTTGGCTTGCCTTGAAAAGTGATGTGACAAAAAATGCCATTTTTGAATATTTTGGGGATAAGGATGAAACCCTGTCGGTCATGTGGCAAGATTTTTCCGACTTTGCTTCCTTGGAATTGAAAAGATATACAGTGGGACATTCTGGGATGATTTGGTAACCATGCATATCAATGAAAAAAATAAATACTTAACAGATTTTCAAAGCAGTTATTTTGATCAGATTTCAGTTGTTAGACTTCATCTCAAGGCTGAAGTTGAGGGGGGACCCGGAGCATGATAGTTGCCAAGAACACAGAAACCATCATCTATTCACCCCGAGTCAAAGTGCACAGATCATGACTGGCAAACAACGAACAGGCCGATGGGATGTTTTCATTAGGGCTCATATGCATGTGCCCAGTGAACGCACAAAGACCATACAGTGTACTGGTACACTGTACGTTCAAATAGACATTGGTCAATCATGCTCTGTGCACCCATGATTAATATACTTTGGGTACGGGCAAACCGTTCTATATAATTACCCATGCTTAACTTGCGCGAACCCGTACAAAGACTTGGGGAGTTCCCACTCCACCCATCCCAGATTGGGGGATAGAGTTATACATATTTGACAGTTGTTTCATGACCATCAGACTATTCGTTTTATTTCCTCCTATTACTGAATCCATTCAGGGACCGGTACAGGGATCGCGACACAGACGAAGAGAGCGAGAAGGGCCACCGCAGCAGGCGCCGGCGAGAGCGGGACCCGGAGCGGGGCGATGACTACGATGGCGACCGCTCCCACCGAAGCCACAACCGCAGCAGCCGTTCTGTATCCATCATGCCGCCCCAGCCTCAGACCACCGACGACGAGAGGGATGAGGTGGGTTGCTACCATGACCACAACAGTATTGAGGAATAGATTCGCATTTGGGAGCTATGACAACAGCAATGCTGCCTGATGGAGTGGGGTCGGGGATGGGATGTTGGTGGGGGTAGTGATGTTGATGTAGGTGGGCTAGGGCTAGGAGTGGAAAAAAGAGGGTTCTGTCATGGCAGGAGCGTGCCTGCCTCTTGGACAGAAAATGGTAAAGCTGTGATGTGGCTTAGTCCGTCACAAGTCCAATCAAAAGTCCTTTCACAAGTCCAGTCATAAGTACGATAAGAGGGTTAACAGTGCCTTAGGAATATTCTCTCATGAAAGCTTGTGAAGTGAAAGATGTTGAAGCGGTTGTGACAATATTTCGAGACTGTTCAAAAGGAATTTATTTAGACGCTCCTTTTTTCAGTCTTTTTAGTCAAGGATATCTTGATACCTTTTATCAAAACACGAGGCAAGACGTTGCTTCCTAACTGCTTCATTCATTTGTATTAACGTTTGAAGTTTTTCGCCCTTACAAAGTTTCCATGGCAGATTTGTATTGACATTGATGTTTAATGCACGTGGGACTGATTTATCCTTCTTGTAACTTGCAGGTTGTAGAGGTGGAAATCTTGCCCCAGGATGACAACTGGGGGGACAACACAACGGCCATCACCGGCACTTCGGACCGCTCCTCCATGGAGGACCTGACCCAGCTCGCCAAGAGCATGGACGATACTGGCTTTGACTGCAGCCGCTACGTGGGCTACGTCTTGGCGGCCGTGGTGGGCCTGCTGGCCTTCCTGTCGCCCATTGCATTTGTCATCATCCCCATCGTCCTGTACAAGCCGGCCCCTTGCGGCACGGCCTGCGACGGCCTCTTCATCAGCATGGCCTTCAAACTCTTGATTTTGCTGATTGGCAGCTGGGCGCTGTTCTTTCGGCGGCCCAAGGCCAGCTTCCCCCGCCTGTTCGTATTCCGCCTGCTGATAGTGGCCCTCCTGCTGGTGCTGATCACGGCCTACTGGTTGTTCTTTGGCGTGCGCGTCATGCAGCAGGGATTCAGCATAGTCTACGAGTACAAGGACGTTGTTCTGTACGCGGTATCGTTAGTGGACGCTTTGCTGTTTGTTCATTACGTGGCTGTCATCCTGTTGGAGTTGCGACAGCTTCAGCCGATGTTCGCCATCAAGGTTGTACGTTCCCCAGACGGCGCGAGCAAGTACTACACTGTAGGGGTGTTTAGCATACAGCGCTGCGCAGCGTGGATCCTGGAGCACTACTACCGTGACTTCCCCATCTTCAACCCCCACCTCCTGCGAGTGCCCACGTCACGGGTGGCCAACAAGCTGTCTAACTTCAAGGTGTATGATGTGGATGGGCCCAACGAGTCGGTCACAGGCCGGTCGCGGGCCATCCTGGCAGCCACTGCCCACCGGCGGGACCAGAGCCGCAACGAGCGGTTCTACGAGAAGCAGGAGTACGAGCGGCGTGTCAAGAAGCGACGGGCGCGGTTAGAGGTGGCGGCGGATGAGGCCTTCACCCACATCAAGCGCCTACACGAGGACCAGAGCATGAGCGCGCACGTCATGGATCCCACAGAGGCAGCCCAGGCCATCTTCCCCTCCATGGCCCGCTCACTGCAGAAGTACCTGCGCGTAACCCGCCAGCAGCCTCGCTGGACCATGGATGCGGTCATCGGCCACCTGTCCATGTGCATCAGCTACAACCTCTCCCCCAAGGCCTTCCTGGAGGCGTTCTTCGAGCCGGGACCCTCCATCGTGCAGAGCGTCCGCGATGGCCTGGGGTCCCAGCCCTGGGAGCTGGTCTCGGACACCATGGTGTCTCGCCCTATCAAAGAGGGCGGGACTTTCCAGCTCCGCCAGGGGGAGGTGATGCTGCAAGTGTACGTCATGAGGATACCGCACCTGAAGGTGAAGGAGGAAGCCTACGACTACAAGAACAATCGGTTTGCCCTGAGATTGCAGTCAGAAACATCGGTCTGAGTACGTCACATATCGAGTGTTACTTTCGTCAGGAAGAATGGACTCAAAGTACTCTCAAGTGCGAGCCATTTGTCCACGTACTGTACATTGATGTGGTCCTATGACACTGCATCTCATAGATTATAATGAGGAGCACTCGTTGTGTAGCTCCATTTCCATGACAATGCAAACACATACCTTTTCAACTGGGGAAGATTAGGCTCCATACTTGCATCTCACACTAAAGATGAGTACATCTTGTGTTAAGCTGCAGTACATGTAGGTCTTATGCACCAGGCATGGTTCACCTGGAACATAATGCAAGTGAACTGGTTCAGGAGTGCCGTGAAGTTGTGAACTTTTCCAGTATGGCTGTCTTGAGTAGTTTACACACTGGCCTCGTCCGATTCTGCACAGTGGCAACAGACCCTTTACCATCGTGGTTTTCTCTGACCACGATTCTGCTTCAGAATCCGGCAGCAGGACATACTAGATTCCAGTCCATCCATCGTTGGGAGGAACCCCAGCTGCCGTGCCGATCAACAGTTTACACTTTTCAGCAGTGGAATGATGCGCTTGCGTGAGAAAGTATGGAGCCTCACAAAAACAGTACAAATATAGAATGCCAAACGGTTAGATTTCGCAAGGGATTTCATGTTGCTCAACGTGGAAATATTGTGACCTAAAACTTCAGATTGTAGCAGTACTAAAAATGTGTTGTATGTACCTGGAAAATATTCAGTAAGTCAGTACTTGTGTTGGTCACCAAGGTTTTTACTCTATTTGGAAACCTTTTCCGTGGTATCTAAGGGGAGTTTTTAAGGGATATCTGTGAAAAATATCGTGAAAATCTTTGGCTGTTGCAGCCTGGCCAGTGTACATGTACACAGAGAATTAAACTCACTGGTGTGACTGAGTGACCTTTTACAACCACACCAGTTCATTCAGTAATGGCTTTGCGTGGTAGCCATCTTGGAGGGCAGTTCTGCAGTTCCACCTCCAAACCTCCATTGTGCATACCATGAGGAACAAAAGCACTGGCCTGCAAGATGGCAGCCATGCAAATCCTCTGTAGGCTCTTTACATATGGCGAAACCAAACATTAGCTTGTCATCCAACAGTCAAAGAATGAGAGCAAGCCTGGACCAGAAAGTTATGGCTAGGCTGGAATTAATGCACCTATGTGTAACGAAGTCATCTAAACAAAACCGAGGCCAGATGTGATCAGCCAGTGTGATGCCCACTGCTACTTCAGACCGACTGTTCAATGCACACTCAGCAATGCTAAAGTGACCATCGGCATGACTTTCAGTTTTTGATTTGGCTGACAAGTGTCACGCTTGGCACGCCTGCGTAACTTTGGTACTGAAAATGTAAGAGGTGGATTGAGTGCATACAGAGTGGCCTTCTCTTTTGAATGTACACAGTGAATGGGACATGTCTAGGTTTGGATTTAGATGTCTGCGCTGTTGGTTCAGTATCTAGAATAGCTTGGGACTTGGCTTGAGGCTGGATAGACTTGCAGGACTCAACTATAATTGTGGTTACCGTTTGAGTTACATGTGCCTACTGGATGGATTAGGTTTGAAGAGTCCAGCATTTTCTCCCCAGAAGTCACACACTAGTCAGCTATATGACCTAAAGGCTTAGCAAAGTATAGTCCCCGGATTCATTCATGTTTTAAACATTTTCCCAGTGACAGTGTCACCCTTACAAAGAGTCGCAGTTTTGTGCACAATCTGATGAAAATTAGACAAGTGCATTTGAGGCAGTGGGTGCATGGACTTATGGGCACACGTGCCCCGAGTATAAAGGTTTTTTTTTTTCCAAATTAAGTGGCTGTGGCTGTGACGAACACACGAGTCTGTGGGAAGAGGCTGGAGCCATCACTCCACAGCTTCCCAGTGTGCTCATTGTTTTCAGCCTCAGTCAGAACTTTTGGATGCAGCCTGCAGTCGGAGCTCCACATCGTGCCACCTGCTGTTCCTGTGGACAATACTTGGTAACATTCACCACTGCGAAATCCTTCTGAATCTTTTGCGGACATTGCTCTGTCTTCTGTTTTGTGCGAAGATATTTCCAACATATGGAGCAACCCTGCGTTATATGCTCTGCCTTTTGTTCAGAAACCTTGCTTTCTCTCCCTTAATCGTCCACAGTGATCGTTTGTGCGTTTAAGCAGAAAATGGCAGACAGTAAATTCGACTATGTAAAGAGTCCTGTTTGATGCGCTCCCCCTGTAAGTCAAAGTTAAAAGAGAGTTATTTATAGGAATACTTGTGTTAGCCTGTAAATACAAAGTGAATAAGTGTTCATGTAGCGCTATGGTGACATTTTGAAGGGAATTCATTGGTGAAGATAATTCCATTCAGTCGGACTGGGCTCGGAATTTATATCATTCGTTTGCAATCTCAGCTGCACAAAGACAATGACGAGACAGTCTCACACGTCCCGTTCCACTGCAGAGAGCCGGAGGATTATGCTCCCTGTGTGTCGCCTATATACGTTGGACAAGTTGGTACCTGGTAGCATCATATGTGACCGGATACCTCCAACCTAGACTGGGGTATAGTTCATTTTCATACCTGGACAGTTCCACTCTCGGGACTCCATTGTTAATTTTCACACACAGCGTACTATTACTTTGGTGATCTCGAGTTGAAAGAAAAAAAATGTCTGCCAAAAACATTGGTTTTCAGGGTCAGTGAAGGTTGTCCTGCTCGCATTGTTCGTGCATTGATCGGTATCGATGATAATTTATAAATATGTTCAGCCTGGTTGTAGAATGGTGGTTCACATAACAAAAGGGTGATACCAAAGCTGTAATTCTGTTTTAAATGTTTTAAACCGCCCGATCTCAGAAATTAATCCATGTTCATGTATGTACAGTCCACTTCTGTTTTTAATCATTAGATAAGAAGCATCTTTTAACTTAAGCCACCGAGTTGTTTTAATTAGATTTTTATCTGGTGCAGCTAGGTTTATTTCGAAGGACTTCCAGGTTACGCTTACCATGTGTTTTGGCGTCTACAGGTGTATGAAATTACGTAGACGTTGTGTATAAACTATGATTTAGTCACATCGAAGTCGGGATGTGTACATGTACTTTCATACTTCCAATGCCCACCTGGTTTTGTAAAGCAACTATTGGGTGCTGCAACACATAACTTCGTTATGAAATAATTTTCTGCATGTATTCTCGTTTCATTTCACGGGCAAGTTTTGGGTGACAAGTTATTTTGTATCTTCTCGTGTTTTAGTTATTTGCGGAATTGGTGCAAATGCGTTAGAAGTCACAGCTTGATCCAACCACATGCAGAGGAATTTCTTGAAATGTCTGGCACTCCATGTTTCGTTTTCAGTTCATTCCAGAGGAGAAGTTTCTTTGGTTTCTGATTCCAAAGCAATGCCTTCTATTTCATGCCCACCTTTTTTCCCCGTCTTGGTTTGGCCCCAAATGTTATCAGATGGATGTAGGTATTTCGTGCCCAAGTACGCATACAGAATGTACTTTAACGTTTGTGAAATAAATTATTGTGTAAATGTGGAACTGACTGTAAATAACTGTACTATGTGGGTTTGTTGTGTAAATGTAACTCCTTGGGAAAAAAAGGAAAGAAAAGCGAGCCAGTGTCATAATATGGCCTAACAGCTTTGGTATACCGGCATATACTTGCATTTGATGTTTTTCTCGGAAGAAAATGACTTGGTATTTTGGTAGCCGTTCATCAACAGCTTTAGTTTGAATACGAATTGGATGGGGGAGGTATGTGAAAACGTCCTCTCACCAGATTCAAGTGTTACCAGCTACTTACAATGTTGAGATGCAGCATCCTGTGGGAACAAGTAAGAACCACACAAGAACCGGAACCGATCATCTAAAAAGCCAGTTCCGGTTTACACGCAAGTGGATTTTTTTGGCAGGGATTTTGTTTTTCCTTTTGTCCTCCAGTCAGTAAAGAGTGAGTTTTACATGTTGTCATTACAATAGTCCATTTGCGAGTAAGCTTTGAATAAAATCTGGTACACCGAGTTCTCCAAATTCACGTGAACTCAAGAAATTGGATTCTCCGTACTAAAGACATTGTTGCTGTACCTCGTGATCTGGGGCAAGCTTTTGCTCAGTCGCATAAGAGACGCCTTGCATCAATGGATGACAAGGGCATAAAGGAACCAGTCCATTCCAGAGATGAGATGGCAGTCGCTATGCAAAAGCTTGCCCCGAATCACGAGGTATAGCAACAGTGTCTTCAGTCTGGGGAATTGGAACTATGTTTCTGTGAAATGATATAGCACAATGTACCAGGTTTTATTCAAATGTAACTAGCGAAAGGCTCATTGAGGTGACAGGGTATGCTTATGACAGGAGCGAGTAGAATGCGGCTTAAGGTGTACAAGTACGTGTATTGGAATTGAACAGTATTCATGATTTTAAATGATGGCTTTTTAATGAGAAGTTACTCTGTCGGTTGTACGTGTACATAAAGAGACAATTCTGAGATGTCAAGCTGATGAGGCAATGTATGTGTGTAACAGGTATTGGCGAAACCAGGAAAAAAAGTAACAATTGCGATTTCAGGGCTGTAACACTCTTGTAGATTGGTAAGTTGTTCATATATTCTATTCCCAAAGCTCAGTGCCAGGTTGCTAGGATTTGTTTTCTATTGCTGTGAATAGAACGCGCTCCATGTAGTCACAGAAACAACATGTTTCCATGAATAGTAGTCCGTATTTAACTTGTAGCTCTTGCGAAGCCAAAAAGTATTTCCAATTAAAAAAAAAAAGCTGTGTACAGTGTACTGGAAGAAGTTTGAGTGTTTGTTCATATTTTTTTTTAAACAAGCACAAATCGAACAAAAAATCTGATGTTATGTTTTTGGATGGGAGTGCAACGTTTTTTGAAACATTGCAAGAAGACTGTCTTGTTTTCCCATGCAAAGCCCCACAGTTCACGCCAGGACAGAATCCAAAACCAATCAAAAGTGGATTATAAGTAGTAAGATTTGAAACTTTGCATGGCAAAGACTGACAGGTTTGCAGGTACACCGTGTAGAATCGATCTCCTCCAGAAGTGTGGTGGCTCTGAAAAGACCCGGTGGGTGGGAACTCCACTGGGAAGAAGTGGTGAGGGGTATGTAGCCACCCATAGGCTCTTATCGGGACCACCGCTCTAGTCTTCTGGAAAAGATCGATTCCATGATGTACCTGCAAAACTCTCTCAGAAGTTCGAGTGCATTATAGTAAACTGTAATATTGATCCGATGAAGCGGACTGCCACATCGCAGAGAGCAAAATCCTGAACTAGTCTGGGCCAACTACTATAGCTTGTCTTTTCCTCCAAGTGGTTGAAAAACTTTGAAAGGACTGATCCATGTATTCATACCAGAGAATTGAAAAAAGACATGTTTTTGCACGAAGTTTTTATCAATGGCATGTATTCTGTTCGCTATCACGATGTCAATTTTTACATTCCTCTAGCTAAAAGTCTTTATCTGTACCATGTTTAGAGTATCAATGACACTGACGTTTATCTTTAATAAAAGAATGTTTGATGTCAAAATATATGACTAGACACAGTGGCAATGCAACTTAATATCATTTTGACAGGATCTTCTATTGGAATGAGGAAATTATTTTGAGACTGTCCTGACACTGT